TCAGACTATAGATAGATAGATGGATAGATAGATAGATAGATGGATAGATAGATAGATAGATGGATAGAATCAGACAGATAGATAGATAGATAGATAGATAGATAGATAGATAGATCATTTCAGTTTCTGGTCAGAGTGAAACAGTCTTAGAAACATCTAAACCAGGGGTGCCCACACTCGGTCCTGGAGGGCCGGTGTCCTGCAGAGTTTAGCTCCAGTTTTAGATGCTCATATTCTGGAAGCACTGCCTTTCACATTCAAAAGGAAGATACAATAGAAGCTTTTTAATGGACCTTTTTGCCCTGAGCATTTTCTAATTCTGTTAAACCAAAGCTGTGTTATGTAATGCTGTCTCTGACTAAACATTTCACCTTTTTGTAGTAGCCAGAAGTCATAGTTTAGTTTCAAGTTATGCTACATAGATATATAGTTTAGCTTTAGTTTTAAAGGTGCTTTTATGTGTTTAATTTGTTTAATCGTCATTTATCTATTTCTTGGACGTTATGAAAAATCAGGCCGGATTTTTAATTCATGTTCTTGCCCCTGCTGTGAACATGTTGTATTAGTCCCTCCCCCAACTTGTGTGTAAGATAGTCTTGTGTATGGATTAACTGGTTCTCGCCATGAATATAGCCATAGATGCTGGAATGGCGTTAAGAAGAAAATAAACAAACAAACAAAAACATGTTGTATAATAAATTTTTCCAGCTTAGCCATTAAATTGAGTTTCTCTTCATGCTTATAGTCCGAGTCCAGTGTCCAAATTGAGAACTGCGTCTCCTGTGACGCCTGAAGGCCGTGCATCCTCCCCCAGTCCTGCAGTATCTCCCAAACCTCCCTCAGCTCGAGCGAGTCCAAGCACTCCTAAAGCCAGACCCAAGAGGGCCAGGACCCCTGCCCGCATGAAGACCCGCACTGCCTCGCCTGTCACCATAGAGAGGGTCAAAGAGACCCGCAGGCCTGCAACGCCTGAAGAACCAAAGGGTGAGTGTGGTGATGGTGATGTTTTTTCCATGCAAACATGCAAGTTTGTAATTTTACACTTTTTCCCCCTCCAGTCCTCATTTTTTCCCCGCTTCGTTTCTCTGTGTTTTCTCCAGCCTCGTCTCCCGTCCCCTCCATTGTCCTGTCATCTGTTCCGGACACGTCCCCTGTTGCAAGTGCACCATTCCTGAGAGTTTCTGCGCCCTCTGTCCCCGAGGAGTCCTCTGTTGTCCCTGCTCTCCCACAGGTGGCTTCTCCAGCTCCTTCTCCAGGCAAACCCATGGCTGGCACCAATAACCCAGAGGAAGCCACCCGCATCCTGGCAGAAAAAAGACGACAGGCCCGTGAACAGAGAGAGAAGGAAGAGCAAGAACGTAGAGAACATCAGGAGAGAGAAAGGTTACCTATTTTATATTCATTTAATTTGTTTCTGTTTTATTTTATATACAGTGGGTACGGAAAGTATTCAGACCCCCTTCAATTTTTCACTCTTTGTTATATTGCAGCCATTTGCTAAAATCATTAATTAATACATATACATTAAAATAATTATAAATAAATATACACACATTTATTGTCATTTTATTAAATCATTTATTTTATTTATATTATTATTTTATATACATTTCATTTTAATTAAAAATAAATTAATAAAAATAAGTTTTTATAAATTTATTTTAAAAAAAAAACATTTATTTATTGTGTATATCTTACCTTAGACTTTTTTTTCCCACAATTGACACTTCACTGGGCATTGTCACTACTTCACATCCATATCCTCATTTTCATATGACATTTAAATGGACTGCCCGTTCCTCAACACAAACTCCATAATGCAGCAGATAGCCTCGTGTGGGAAACATTGGTTTGAGTCCAGCTTGCAACATGCACTGATCCCATTCCACTTTTATCACACAAATAACTATCTGTCATTTCCACTATATCTGTCTAATAAAGAGGCAGGATAACAATTTCATCTCTATAAAATGTTAACTTTGAAAACTTTTGACCCTTTGTATCCCTACCGTCAAAGCCAAACTCCACCTCAGCTAACACACGTTCTGATATGCTTGACCTGCTCCATCAGGCTGTGCTCCAGGAATAGCCTCTGTGGTGTGGAGCTGTTGACGTCTGGTGTTCTCAGTGACAGTTTATGAGTTTAGCACATTTATGAGCCAAAAGGGACTTTGGCAACAGCGTAATGAGAGTTCCACTCTGTTTATGCTCCGGTGCCGCTGGTAACTAGGGTTGCGGATATTTTGGTCACAACTAAAAAGATTCACTGATTCACGCTCTCCATCCACTTTGCATTTTGCTTAGACCATATCTGCAATTTAAAGTTTTATGTTACCAGCCACAGCAAAATGATCAATGATCAAAAAGTCCACTTGCATTCCCATGCCCTTTTGTTTCAATAATTCACAAAGTTCAATGTTTAATGCTACCTGAAGGGACTTTTTTATCTTACGTGTGTACAATGACTGACTGTCTTCCATCACACAGGCATCAGCGCGAGGAGAGGCTAGCACAGGAGGCAGAGGAGAGGAGGCGCAGGGAGGAGGAGGCCAGGCTCATGGCGGAGCAGGAGAGGTTAAGAGAGGAGGCTCAACACCTGCAGGACGAGAAGGAGGCACAAGAAAGAGCCAAAATCGAACAAGAGGAGAACGAACGCCTCCAGAAACAGGTCAGAAACACTGCATTTCCCAGAATCCTAAGCAACACACTTCACTCTGTCAAATAAAAGCTGTGTAAATGCATATACAGACAGTCATGTACAGTACATATATAGACTTTCCAGTACTGACTGTTGAATTGCTTAGTTGCATCAGAGCCATGGCCTGGCACTTAGTGCACATGCTCAAGACATGTTGAGCTGTGGTGCTCATATTGGAGACATGGGTTCAGATCTGGCCTAGGTTGTGTCCTGATCAGTGTCATTTTAATATGATTTATATACTATTATATTGTTTGCTAATATTTAAGTTTTAGTCATTTTGTTACAAGTTTTTATATATATTTTTAAAATATTTTTTAAGTTTGTTTTTCATGTAATTGTTTTTTTTTTTTTTCAGCTTTATTTCAATTGCCAAAAATTATTTTTAATAGTTTTAATTTTACTTATCAGTAGCAACACTGGTCTTTGGGGGGGTTTTTAGGGTTTGATCCTTATATGACCTAAATGTTCTATTAAATGCTATAAAATATGAGCATGCACTTGTATCCTCATTTTGTAAGGATGATGAGACAAAAAAAATGCTACACAAGTATGTCAGGTTCTTACAAATCTGCTCTTACTTCTAGGAATGCATTAATATTAACAGTGCCATTTAGCGTAGTAGCATTTTTGAGGTTTTACCACCACCTGGTGTTCAAAATGGCATTTAAATAGAAATTAAGTAGGTATCACAGTTCCCACAGTCATGGAAAACAAAGAAATAAAAAGACATTTTGTGATTTTAATTCAAGGCCTGGAGAAGCCATAGAGATGAATAAAATATTAAAAAGTCATGGAAATTTCTATAGCTATCATAGAATTTTCTAGTTATATTATGTTAATGTTTCATCAGCTGGTATTTAATTAAAACATATTTAAAAAGAAACTCAACCACTAATCATAAATAATAACAATTAATTCACTGGATAAAATGTCATCAGCTGCAGAGGAAGTTGTGTTCAGTGTGAATCTGATCATATGATCATTGTATCTGTAGAAAGAGGAGGCTGAAGCAAAGGCCCGAGAGGACGCCGAGAAACAGCGACTGGAGAGAGAGAAACACTTCCAGAAGGAGGAGCAGGAGAGGCTGGAGAGAAAGAAGGTCAGAAGGGTTTCCACCTCACATTTATATTTTTCTCTATAAGGTAATTTTGAAATCATCATGCATCTTTAAAACCCTTATTACAGGGAACTGTTTGCATATCTTCACCAACTGAAAACTCGGCAGTCTATTTAAATCCTTTAATTTCCTCTCCTAACAAGTCACATATGCCCACAGTAGCTTTCAGGCAAAATATGTTTTCAAGGTGACTGTAGGATCACAGTGAAGTGCGAGCTCTCAAGATTCATGCATCTGCCATAAATCATACAACACTTTGACATACACCCCCTGATCCCGTTCTGTGAACCTGTTTAATGGAGGTTAGCCTCATCACCTCGGTTCCAGTAGTATTACCCCACCAGGACACTATGTCCCACTATAAGTCAGTTTATCAGGGCTGCGCTAGAGCCTCGACCCAACTGTCCTCAGCTCATGGTGTGATTTTTGGAAGACACAATGTCCTCTGAGCTTGAAGGGGTCATATGATTGCTAAAAAGAACATTATTTTGTTTATTTGGTGTAATGAAATGTGTTTATGCGGTTTAAGATTATTAATATAATAAATTATGAATAAGATTATTAAATAATATACAATATTTTCCACATACTGTACATTGTTTCTCCTCTATGCCCCGCCTTTCTGAAACGCGTAAATTTTTACAAAGCTCAAACTCGCGTTTGAATCATCAGTGGCAAATCTTTTAAATATGAAAAACGTACTTACAGTCTGTGAGGCGGCAAGCGGGCTTGAGTGAACGGAGGCCGGCAGCTAGAGTGAGTGTAGGCCGGCTGCTAGAGTGAGCGTAGGCCGGCGGCTAGAGTGAGCGGCGGCCGGGGTCTAGAGTGAGCGGAGGCCGGCGGCTAGAGTGAGCAGCGGCCGGGGTCTAGAGTGAGTGTAGGCCGGCTGCTAGAGTGAGCGTAGGCCGGCGGCTAGAGTGAGCGGCGGCCGGGGGCTAGAGTGAGGGGCGGCCGGCGGATTCGACGAAGGAGTGGCCGGCGGGCTTGCGGCAACCACATGTGACGACCCTTTATCTACATTTATAATAATATTCTTTGTATTATATCAGCTTTGCATCAAATTACAAAAAAACAGTTAACGCTAATGCAAGGGTGTTTCTAATGCAGCATCTATGGGAGGGACGGTAAATTTGACATCGTTCTCTCTTCTGACTGCCGTTATCAGTCTCTCTCAATTTTTTTCCTTTTACTGAAAGTCATGGAAACACTATTGTGGAGTTTTTCTTTTGCTATTTGAGCAACTGGGAATGCAAAAAATATATTTGTGGTACTCTCCCATTCACTGCTCTTATAAAGAATATCTCTTTGGATTTGAGACTTTAGTCTTTGCAACTTTACACATCTTCTTTATACACCAAGAGCTTGTAACACTCCAAAGAGAAAGGAAAACTTGAAATCGCATCATATGACCCCTTTAAGTGTTTGCAATCAATTTATTTTAGCTCCATTTAAATAAATAAAAATATTGAAAGTTAGTCAACTAAATTTGTTTATTTAAATATAGCTAAAATAAATTGATTCCAACCACTTACCTTAAAAAATGTAGTAAATTAAATTAATCAATTTTTTTCAATGTAGTGTAGACACCTGCCGCTGTCTTTTGGACTGCTTAAAGCTGCAGTTTCTGATTTTAAAACTTTGAAAGATTTATAAAGAATCAGACAGATATCTATTGATAAAAGTAAAAATCACCTTTTGGAATTGGGAATGATGTGGAATAATTAAATTAAATTAAAAAAAAATTCTAATTTAATACATAATTTTTTAATTAGAAATACATACAAAAAGAGTTACAGAGGACCAGAGAGATATATGTCCGTAAACAGTACAATTTGGAAGTGAGAATAATGTAGATTCATTGTTGAAATAAAACAAAATGAATTAAAAAATGAAATATAAGAAAAATTAAATAAAATAAATCTGAGACACTTGCATTTTTCTAATTGAATACATTATTTTTCTTTACTAATTACATTATCATAAACATGAGTGAAAAGTTGACTTGAAAAGTGAATATGAAATAATTATTTTTTCACTTCAAGTTCAAGTGAGCGATATTGTCGTTCCCCCATATGTGGAGACATACAAGAGAACAGGAACACAGCGCTACATATAGACAGACATATAAATTAACTAAGTATTAAATATTACATATTAAATGAACTCCATAAGTTTGTGTGAAACCTGATGACCATGTTCTGCAGAATGATTCAGAAATGATCCAAAGAATATCTTGTGCTTCATGATCAACAAGTTACAAGATCAATGTCACAATGTTTGCTTACTTGATTAGTAACCTATAAATAGTACAGAATCTTAAATATTTCTTCTTTATTTTACATCATCATGTTTCCTTAGTTTGACATTTTTCAAAGTTCAAAAACTTTGTTTATTTCCTGGTTTAAATTTGATTGTGAAACTCTTGAAACATTTTCCATGCTTTACTTTTGTCTCTTCTGTGCATTGTTTTTAGCGTCTGGAGGAGATTATGAAAAGAACACGCAAAACAGATGCAGGAGACAAGGTACAGCGCCGTTCTCATTTAAAACGGCCTCACTGCGGCAGTAGCAAGGCTCCAATTTCCCCTTGTAGTTCAAGAGCTCAGAATCTGATTGTGCTCTTTTCTTTTCTTTCCTTCATGCAGAAAGACACAAAATCTCCATCTCAAGTCAATGGAAAAGCTTCAGATTCTGAGATGAATAAAGGTATGACGTTAGTTTAAAATTATGTTGGTTTAAATATGTTAGTATAAATTGTGTTCATATCACTACTAACAAATAATCTTTAGTTGGATTTGGCATTCAGTGCTTTGTTCAGGACTGTTTGAACATTTCTATTTAGATCTGTTTGAATCCGCAACAGCCCGTTTACGTCAGTCCCACATAATGTTTTCCCTGGCTCTGTCATTGTACCTTTTTTTTTATTATTTCTTTGGGTCCAACTTTCAAAATCATTTTCCCTTGTTAGGAAAAGCATAAATAAAGGTTCCCACATCCACACCCCTTTCAAGATTAAACTTATATCTGCAATATTTCCTCAAGGTTGGGAGATGGATTTGTTGCTCCATATAGTCAGCCAGAGAGGGAGTAGCGTGCAAAACTGTGTACACACTGCTGCTTGTTACTTGCGTCATGTCGAATCCCTGTTGCTGTTCAAAACCAGTGCTTTCTGTAATGGAGTATGAAAATTGGCACAGCAGCATGGTGAATCCATCACAGTCTATTTACGTAGAGCTTTGACACTCGGTAGCGTTTTTTTTTTTTCCAACTGGATGAATGACTATAAAGTCTACTTTCACCCAGCTGCTAGTATTATTCACTTTAGCCACTAGAAATACAGACAGTCATTCAAATAAATATATGATCAAAAATAGAGTAAAAATTATTTATATTAATATTATTAAATATTGTGAAATATTATAACATTTTCAAATGCATTTTTTTGTTTTGTTTTTCAGTATATTTTAAAGTGTAATTTGTTCCTGTGATGGCAAAGCTGAATTTTCAGCAGTCATTACTCACATGATCCTTCAGAAATCATTCTAATATGCTGATTTTGTGTTTAAGAAACATTTCTTATTATTATCAACGTTGGAAACAGTTGCTTAATAGTTTTGTGAAAACCCTGATACATAGAAGATTCAGAAGAACAGCATTTGTCTTAAATAGTAATTAAACATTATGCATTTATTTACTGTCACTTTTGATCAACTTAATGCATCCTTGCTGAATAAAACTATTAATTTCTTCAAAAAAAAAAAATCTTACTGACCTTCGAACATGTAGTGGTAGTGAAAATTCAAATACAAAAGGACATTTTCAAAGCAAACTCCTATTATGTATTTTGTATTAACAAGCTGTTGTAAATACAATGAGCACTGGGAATCCGGGAAACGATTCCAAATGAACTGCTGAAATGTTTATTCTGTCAATTGTACAAGCCATCTGGGAAAGGAACATTGATTTGGCAAAGGAACGCTAAAACAAACAAGATTGCCATTTTAAGAAACTATTAGCATGACATTCTGTCTTTTCCTAGCAGCTGCTGACTACCAGCCAAGCACGGAATTGAAACAAGCTGGTGTGAATGAAAGGTAAGTCCTGTGTTTGCATTTTTGTATTCTGTCAGTTTACCCAGAGGCGACAGTCTTGTTTTCACATCTTGTTAACACATGGGATGCAAACTCTGCTTTATCCGCAAATTGTATTTGCGATATTCAGATTTTTCACATAGATTACATTTGTAGTGGTTTAAACCATCTGTTTTCTTTTGCAGTCTGCCTGTTCTTGTGGTGAATGGTGTTCAGCCTTCCAAACACGAGAATGGTCTGTCAGCAAAAGGGGCGGCGTCTCACTTCCAAGAGATCATTCAGCTGTCCAATCACAACAACGGACGGGAGAAATCCGAGATTGACAGACCTGACGAGCCAATCATGGCCTTTGAGAGCGGAGAATCATTCCTTAAGAAAACAGGCCCCATTAAGCCTCAGCATGTGGCAGGTGAGCATCCAAAAAGTTTCTAATATTTCAGTGTCAGTCGCTTCTTAGACTGTGACTGGTGATAAATTTGAGGCAATTTGCATATTTTTCAGAGACAAGTCCACTACATTTTAAAAGGTTTTGTTGTGTGTTAACTATCAATGTTTCTTTTGGTGGGAAAGAGTTATTGTCATCATCTTTCCGACTTTTTTGCACTTGGAGGTTTAATGTGGTCTCAGGTGTGGGTGTCATAGTGGCCGTATGTTGCCCTGCGGGTGCGTCAGGCAGAGGTAATGGGGTGAAGAGCCTGGCACTGAGCTGGATTCCTGAAATGGTGTCATGAAGACCTGATCCAGCCCCACTGGCACCCAAGACTGGAAACAGGACCCCTTGGCTTAGCTCTTCACCCCCCTTTCCCTCGGCCTGGTCAGCATTACTTGGTCCCGCTCCCCTCAGCACGTACCTCCACCTGTCCTCCTGCAGACAGCCCTCCAGCCATTAATCATCCGCAAAAAAAAACACAAGGGGGTTTACCTCATGCCATGCCAGCTCTCGTAAACTGAGATGTACATTTTTAATCCCAAGTGATATCCAGGACCTTTGCTTTGCTATATCTGGAGCGCAACCCTCATCTCATGTTAGGTATAGAATTATTATAGACGTATCATGTGAGTGCGAAGATAGAAACAACCATTTTCTCAGGACTAAAGCTCTCATTTTCTGTGCACCTTGCTGGAAAACCATGTTGTGTAAATATGCTAATTTAACTTAAATGGGTCCATACCTGCTAAGCAACCTACTTAAACCAGCTAAAAGTAGGAATGGGCATGAGTTCCTGAGTTATTGATTATGAAACTATAATTGTGTATAAAACATTTTTTACATTACTGTTCAAAAGTTTGGGGTCAGTAAGATTCTAAAATGTTGAAAGAACTGTCTTATGGTCACCAAGGTTGAATATATTTGATTAAAAACACAGTAAAAACAGTAATATTGTGAAATATTACAACAATTTAAAAGAACTGTTTTCTATTTGGATATATGTTTAAACATAATTTATTTCTGGGATCGTCAGCAGACATTACTCCAGTCTTCAGTGTCACATTATCAATGTTGAAAACCTTTGTGCTGCTTAATATTTTTGTGGAAACTGATACATTTTTTCAGGATTCTTTGATTCCTTTAATATCTCTTTTGATCAATATAATGCATCCTTCCAGAATAAAAGTAAAAAAAAGAAAAAAAAAGAACAAGCTTTTGAACAGTAGTGTATCTAAATAATTAATTACAAATTAAAAATATTAATATAATTATTAATTATTCAGTTTATTAAAACCCAGGTATTTTTACATGTGGTTTAAATAATTTTTTTTTTTTAATTTAACTTTTAAAAAGGACACAGTCTGAGTCTTAAAAATATGATGCTCATGTCGTAAGATGCTGAAAAAAAATCAGGAAAAAATCCCTTCATGATCTTTGAGTATCTAAGCAGTGTGTCCTAATTTATGAAAATCGAATTAACTAAATTTTGTAAAGACACTTGTATGTCTAATCTCCATATTCTTCCTCCAGAGGTCCTCTGAGGTCGTAAACTGTTGGATGAAGCCTTAAATCTGCGAGTCCCTCAACACCGTCTGCCTGAGGGACCCGGTGGAAAGAAGCACAGCATGCAAGAGACCTGTGCCAAACCCAAAAACTGTCTTCTGTTTAGACTGTACAGAGCCTCTCTTATGGTGCGTGATGGAAATTACAAGGAAGCTACACAACAATCAAGCTGAGCTAAACGCCAACGTACACCAGAATCACCATTCATCAAGACCCTGACCTCACACACTTTATGGCAGACCAATTCATGCCTCTTTCTGATCACCACAGTACAATGTTAGGCTTTTTAGGTTTGTTTTTGTTTTTAAAAAAGGCTTGTGACAAACAATAATCCTTGTCGTTATTCATGCTGTTATGGGTTGAATGCAGAAGTGCTTTGGGTGTTTTATTTTTCAATGTTTAGTTATTTAACTTGGAAGAGAATTGTAACTACTGGGTACAGTTGTATGTGAATAATGTAAATTGGAAGAGACAATCTGTGAATAAAACAGAATGAAACGGACAGTCATGTCTGCACTGTTTCAGAGTTTTTTTTAATGCTAGAGATATTTTTAATATTGTCTTGAAGTGAAATAATTTTTAATGCCATAGATGTACCAGATTAATGCATACAGATGTAAACATGGATAAATGTTAAGTGCTTACTTGCATAACAAATGTGTCATATCCAAATATATCAACAGCCAGATTCACCATGCATGCACATGCACCTGCAATACTGAAGTTTTTCAATTTTAAACTTTAAAGATGGCTTGGCTTTTTCATTGTAAGAAACTGTTGTCACTAACTGGTATGTTCTATGTTAGAGCCTTATCATAATTATATTCCTGGTTTTCTTGTTGGTAAAATGCCTGTTATTTCAAGTTTATGGAGATGGCCCTCACTCCCACCTTACATATACCTAAACCTACCCGTCTCCACCCCCTGATCCCTAAACCCACCCATCTCCACCCCTAAACCTACCAATCTCCACACCCTAGATGTGGATCCAACCATGCCCTCTGGATCTTGTGTTCTGCAGTGAGGGGCTACTGAGTATTGGCCTATTTATAAACCGGAACCGATCGACAGTACCCAAAGGCGTCCTATTTAACTCCAAATGATGGCAATTTATAGCCACTCTGGAACTTTGTTAGACCGTGAGAGCACAAACTATTGGCCCTGGTTGTTGGCATAATAATTTTATGTAGTGTTTCCAATCATGGTCCATTCTGAGGAGCTGAAACTGAGTGTATATTACTGATGCCCTCAATAATTCAGAGTAATTTTGGAGTAATTAGTCATGAAAAAAAATTGATGGCTTTTTTTTTTCCAAAGTTGTTAAAGGGGAAACTGATGTTCTGAAAATTTCCCTTTAATTTCATTCAACTCACAATATCATTGTCTATTATAAGCATGCATTGCCATTCTGACATCTGCCACCTTAAATGCTGGAGCTCTTTAAAGCAGAATGGATTCAGATTGACTGTCATTGCTTTTATCATTCATCAGCTGAGAAAACTCATTTTGAAAGTGATTCCAATTAACGATATTGTTCCTCTGTGCTGTTATCGGTATAGTTGTGGTTTGCACTCTGCTAGTTTTAAGTTTAGAACAATTTTTAAAACTATCTTTATTGTTATCACTATATAGTTATCATCCTTGCTCTGAATGGCTCTTAAAACTTTTATTGAAGAACAGATCTTGAATTAAACTAGAATTATAATTTTTCCTTGTAAAGAAAAACAGTCATGCAAACAGTCAATGTCCAATGCAATGAATTGAATGGGGGGGAAACTCCTCCTTTAGACTGCTGTATTTGCATCTTAAATCTGAGTGGTATAGCAATGATCTGTGATATGGAGGTAATGCATATCCTGATCTGACCTTTGTAGTGCAGTTTGTCAGAGGTTATGGTTTATTATTGTCCATTATGACACATCTGTCATATTGATACACAGTAGGGGGCAGCAAATCAACACGCATGTACAGACTCACTGCTCAGGTATCTCTCACCCGAAGACATTCAGACTGGTTGCCAACATTTATTTTACTTTGCTGCCTCTGTTTCAAAGAAGAATGTGAAGTATGGGACTGGCTATATTTTCCAGCCCAGTGTTGCCTGTAACTTTAGATGGGTCCACAAATGACGGGTTTGTTTCAACATTGTGTTGTTGCTGTGGGGATTGCTCTAACTGCGGGTGCCGCTTGTGTTGTCCTGCTGGGGAAAATAAGAGGGGCTATTTTTAGGCCGTTGTCAGTCGCTAGTGAGTTATAGCACTGAGGCAATGCCAATGTGATGAATTAATTTACAAAGAATGAGGACCAGTGGAAGGTATACGATTGGCGTAGATGTGATGGAAACAAGAAGACAGAGGTTCTTTCAAAGTAAGATCATGTCACTTAAACAGTCCTGCAATAACTTGGGTGTGAGATGGGGAAGCGCACCATAAAGTTTTTGACATGTTGATTAACAGCCTGTTATCTCTTCAGGGCCTTTCTGGAGTTCCTCTGCTAACTTCCAGTGATGATTAGTCAATTTATCCCATGAGACTTGCTTCACAGATAAAAGTTGTTTTAAAGGGGTCATATGATGCTTTTTTAAAGATCATTATTTTGTGTATTTGGTGTAACAGAATATGTTGACATGCTTTAATGTTCAAAAAACACATTATTTTTCAAATACTGTACATTATTGTAGGTCCTCTAAAGGAAAACTTGAAATCGCATCATATGACCCCTTTAAGCAGGTTATACAATTAAACCTTTTTTTTTAAGTTATATTTAAGGGGGACCAATAATTTGCTAGTTGTTCATTCTGCAAATGTGTTAAGCTGCTATGTTCTTTCAGTTGTGGACTTATTTGGACTTATGTGGACTAAGAATTTATTGGCGCTTTCCAAGACAAGCAAAAAACAAAAGGCTAGAGATCTTTACATGACTGAGGCACAACTGACATTTTCTTCAGTAAATGTAAAATAGTCTAAATATTGTCTACTTTGTTTATTGGTGGTTATTTGTGCTTTTATTAAAGCATTATTGGCGCTTTTCAAGACTTGCGTAAAGCAATAGGCTAGAGATTTTAACATTACTGAGGCACAACTGACACTTTCTTAAGAAAATGTAAAATAGTCTATTGTCTACTTTGTTTATTGGTGGTTATTCATGCTTTTATTAAAGCATTGTTGGTGCTTTTCAAGACAAGGATAAAGCAAATTAGGTTTGAGATTTGAACACGACTTAGGCACATCTGACATTTTCTTCAGAAAATGTAATAACTATAGCCTATATAGTCTACTTTGTTTATTGTTTTTTTTTAATTAGTAACTTACATTTTAGACAGTATTGCCAGCAATAGACAACTTTTGCTCTGCCAACTGAGAAAAAAAAACAATAGCGAAAGTAGATTTCACCATTGTGCATATCATTCCTGAATGAATCAAGGTTTATCAATTAAACAGTAATGAATGATTCGTTGACTCATTCATTTGTATTATTCCTGAAAAAATCAGTGTTTGAATCACTCATACAGACACGTCCCAAATGGCCTACTTATATTATGTCCTAAAAGTATGTACTCTTTTTGGGAAGAAACGGTAGATACGTTTGAGTGTGTAGCAGAGTAGACAAGCATTGGGACATACTACCACATCATAAAAATGTGCTCTGGCCGAGTTACGTGCATTCTGTATTTGTAAACCAGCCTGTTTTCAGCACCAATATATAGCAGCGTTGTGCTACGGGTGCCCCGAGTTTGAATCCTGTCTTATAATAAAGGCAGAAATCTGCAAAAAAACAGCCCGTCAATCACAGTTAACAGTGGCTTGTTTCACTCCTGAATGAATGTGTTTTTAAACAAATTAGATGAATGAATCATTGAATGACTCACTCATATAGACATTTTTTAATCCAGAACAGCATTCTGCTTCTGCGAGTACTTTTATATGATAGAGTAGTATGCCAGTATGCATTTCCTTGTCACTTGTTTTGTTTCTGAATTAACAATTTTCTTGAGTGAATGTTTCCAATGACTCACTCATAAAGACACTTGTTACCATCTACTTGGCGTAACAATGTAACCTGCACAAAGATTCACTGAAAAATTCCCACCACTAATGGTCTAGTGATACAAAATTTCAGTAATGCTAAAAACCCAACAACCATTGGTGTTTGTTGGGGAAATTAGTGTTGAACTAGCCTTAAACATCTAATAAATGTTGCTGAAAGGCAAACATGTCCTCCACACCGCCACTTTTCATGAAGTACAAGGGTTATCTAGCGGTCAAGCTCTGTGGTGAGTGAACATCCATCGCCTCACACTGTGAGTTTCTACACCATCAAAGGACTTCAAACAAACTGCTGTCCCCAGCCCTACTCGCTCTCACTCACACTCACTCTCAGCTGTCTTATCTCCCAGGCAATAAGTCCCCTTCCCACAGCTGTTATCATACGATGGCATATTGACGCAAAGGCCCAGTATGGCTGGTGCTCAAAATAAGCCCATTGGAAATTGTTATTGGCGTTTGAATGATGGGTACGTTCCAAACAGGCCTGTTTTGCAGTTCTCCCAGTGAGAGATGGGTCTTTCACTTCAGCTTTGGACTTTCTGGTGTTCTCACTCCAATTCACATGATCTTTGAAGTGTTTAGCTAAAGTGACATTATAGTAGGAGGTCGCAGTCATGGGGGTGGTGAAATTTGTGGTCACTGAGCAGCTGGAGGTAAATGGGCAGCAGCTGGATAATCTTTGGTCTTGTTTTCCTCAAGCATTTGGGCGTTTGTTGGCTTTGTGATCAAGCACCTTTGCTCGACACCAGTGTGGCTTCCCCTTAGGCTTTCCCTAAATCTATTATATATGCCTTTGGGAGTCAAATTCTTATTTTCATTTCAAGTCATTGGGCCCCTTTCATGAAAGACATATTGTATGACTCATATTTAGTGTTTTAAAATCACATTTTATTTACTGCCTTTTGCCTTTTATAAAAGAGTATAATAAAGAGCAGACTGGATTGTGGAAAAACAGTGTGATACTGTGAAACTGTGATACTTGTTGTTGTTTCAGCATACTTTGCACAACTACTGATGTACTAGGTATAATGTTTGTTCATGACTTATTAATCAAAATATGGAAGAGTTATGAAGCTGAAACTGTGGGATAGTACCATGTGTTTTTCCTGTTCTCACATCCTGAATGATTTGCATGCAGTACTGTGATTTGAATGCAAAGGATCCGTGTCTTGAACATTCACCATACCTCAAATACATCAGTGTCTTCAACTCTGGACTCAGTGTTAAGTAGCATTAAGGAGCTATGAGGATCCAGGATCCAGTTTTGCTAGCCGGCTAGAGAGTCTTTTATCACAGCAGGAGAACAACAGCTGTGTCTCTTCTTTTATTTTCTTGCGTTGGGAACATTTGCCACCTCCGGTGTATTAAAGGCAATGGCGAGAGAAAGATTCATGGTCAGCTGAAAACCATCTTGTCTGGCACTGGATTGTTGTTACTGGCTGATCTGGGGGAACACTGACTC